TTTTTTTATCATTTTATTTCTTAATAATGTATAAAAGAGGACACATCTAAATCCTAACTGTTATCAAAGCAAAAAATAATTGTCTTTGTGATAATTGGAATGATTTATCAAAGAAATATATCTATATGATATCAAATAACTGGAAAATAGTTAATTGGATGAATAGTTGATTAGCTTTATATAAAGTGTGTTCTTTTATTTGATGAAAAAAAAATTGTCAATTTTTTGATTTGAAAACATGATTATTACTTTCCCCACAATGTATTATTGAGGGGTATATTTTCAACGATAGATAATGTAATTATATGGAGCTTATTTTGTCTTGCTGCGTATGGTAAATCGTCAATACATTAATTCATATATACAAGTGATCCCCTACTAGAGATAAGGATTTCTCGGATGACATATTGCCATTTGGGCATGTGGTCGAAAATTTGCCGCAATAAAGAGACAACAGTAACAATCAATTTGGTGATCTTCTCACACTTGGCTAACTTTCACTAGATCCCCTGTGTGCTTCAACTGACACGCGCTACACCCACAAAAATCTACCCTTAAGTTTGTTGCATCTATTATTCTGCTACCGATCTCGCCTTCCGGTCACTCGAAATACATTCACTTGAATGACATGAGGATTTTTTGTCTGAATGTCGACAAATAATTCTACTTTTATTCCTGTAAATATTTCAATGTATTCTCATAAATTCTAAGGTGTATTATATTTGTATCGGGGGTGTTTAAATATATACCGTTGTAGTACACGAAAGAATGTCAGTGACACTTATGTGGCTACCCTTTTGCGAATCAGGGGGTGGTTAAAGGCGATGCTTTTGAATCAAAGAGGGATGAAATTGAAGGGTCGTCGGTTTAGCTTGTAAAAAGCTTCCTGTTCGTGTTTACTTTGCGTGCGTGACTCCGTTTACTTACCAATCTAACTGACATGCTTAAATTATTCTTATTTTTTGATTTTATATCATTAATGCAAACTCAACAATATTACAAAAGCCATGGGATGAAATTATCTCTTGTGTTTTCGAAATTTACTCTCTGTGATTATATGGGTAAATAACAATTTACCCTCGAGAGTACTCATGCATGATGTTAAGTAAATATTCCCATATACGATAAATAAATAGATTCTCGATATTCTCACAAAGTATAATAATTGTGTTATTAGACCCGTTTGAGATTAAATAGTAAATACAAGTATTTTAGCTGTTATGCTAATGTGTTTTTACTTTTTAACGCCCTATGGATATTTTAAAAACGAAATATTAGTTATCGTTGGGAATAATCGGCACAGGAATTCGACCTAAAAGTGAAAAGGAAGTGTAGTAAGAGCATATGGCCTTATTAAGATGGATATGCATTTTTGTAAAGTCACCCGAGCTTTCTAAGCTTTATGCAGGGATAAAAGAGACCGCTGGTCCATAAGTTTACTTGACTTTTTCTTGTATTTCTTCTCTTACTTTCCTTCCCTCACTTACTAAGAACTCTGTCAGTTATTTATTTTTTTTGACGCCAAAATTTTTCGTTTGTTATTTTAAATTTTTTAAAAATACTGAAGAATTTTATTATCCAATAATATTTTATTTTTTATGAAAATACAAAAGCAGAAATTAATTGAAAATATTATTTCTACAAATGACACTCAATTAATTTTATTATATATAAGAAGATAAATATTGATTGAAACTATAAGTGACTTTTTATTAAAAGGTTAAATCTGATAATCTATAATTGTTTTTGATTTGTTGGTATACTCGAGTTGTTGCTCGACTAGTGAACATATATTGTTGAGAAACAACATAGTTGTACAGCAGGATGGGTAGACTGAACAGCCGAGGTAGGTAGTAAATCTCACCCTAAAGCATCCCCATCGTGCTATCCCTAACTAGAACCACCCTACCATTTCCTACATGTCTTACTAGCGTTTATGCAATGGCGTCGACTATAAAGGACTTGTTTCCTCCAGCCCAGATACACAGATAGATCTGATTTTTACTTCCTAATGGAATGAAAAAAATAATTTTCTCGTTATTGCATAATGTATCGTATGGTTTACGATTTCAAGATCAGTAAAAATAGGTATTCCATTTGTGAGTAGGTCGTATAGATACATCGTGCTTGATTAACCTTAATCGGAATGTCATCATCCTGATGTCTATCGTAGTCACGTATATAATACACATGCACACGTGTACGCATATTTTCATTGACCGCATAAATATTGCATTGGTACATGTATAGAGTCGCATTGTTATGGTTACAATTCGTCCAAATATAGAGCGGCGTAACGAATCTTGATCATTTGCTCGACTTATCGGGCCATAACGGCTTGTGAACGGACACGCGCGAGCGAAAACGGTGCACGCAATCTCGACGTTGAGCATTTACTTCTGTTTAATGCCACACAGGAACTGGGAGCAGAAAATATGTGAAAGGGACGAAGAATCATCCTAAATGGGAAATGAAAGTCTCAACTTTCCTTATCTGATATGATATTTTTAAATTTATTTTACAATAGTTTACAAATGATATATTATATGTGCTAAGTAATTTTTTTTTAATCTCAAAATAGTCCTAAAAGGAAAGTCACGAGGGTGAAACGACAATATTCCCCCCACGCGTGAGACTAATCGCTCGGGTGATTTCGCTCTCCATTCAGTTTACTTACGCTAGTGGGGTAGAAAAGCACCCCAAGCCCCTTGTTTCTGCAGTTAATGTGTTCCGGAGTTTACCGTCTCTCTGTCTCTTCGTCGTTTCTCTTGGTTCCTCGACCACTTTTCCTCTCACTTCGTCTCGCTTGCCCTCCTTCTCGCTCTTTCTCTCGTTTCTTTTACATCAACATCTTTGTGAAAGTAGTACTGTCTTTACTCTTCGAATTATAAAACCCTTAAAAAATTTATTGGACCCAGTATATTCTACAATGCTTCTAAAAATTTTATTTGCTTTCTTTTTTTGTTACTCTTTTTTTCTTTATTCATCATTTATTTCTATGTGTATATAGATATATCACCACACTAGAATATCAAGTGATACATGAGTGTATCGAACAATGCTTACAGCAGAACAGTGGAATATTATACGTAAGAATAAAGTTTACACAGTTGGTCATACGAGGTTATTTATAATTATTTTTAAATTCCACCGATGATGTGATAGTTTTCCCGTTAAACTCTAGATCTATCGGTGATGTTCATTGAACCTCGAAAAAATAATTGTACAGGTCAGGTGAACGCCCCCGTCTAAATACACAGAGGCCCGCATGTGTTACTAGTGCTAGAGAAGATTTTCAAAATTTACAACAAGCGTATTAATCCCCAATGAGGGTCTTGGGAAATTTCTTCACTAGCCAAAATCTCTGACTACAAGTTTATGGTTTTCACTTGTCAGAACCATCTATCATGGACCAGCAGAGTCTTTACACGTCTAGCCAAGACTTCCGTTGCCAGACGAGGAAATTTTGTCAGGGTCAGGTACTTGAAAATCCAAATCGATCCCATCAGTATACTGGTGTCTTACTGTAAGCTGATTGGCATACTGGTACTTCTCACCAAGAGGGATGCTGGTCACGTTTAATTATTTTACAACTATGTCCCTTCGTGATTCTTTCCGTCGCTCAATCCTCCACTTGACCTCTAAGAACAAGTTTCTTTGTTTCATTTTGCTGGACCCCTAGACGATTTATAGTCATTTTAGTCAACATCTGGTTCAATCATGCGTGGAGAGATAGTCGAAAAAAAAAGTTTGGCAACGTTGATACTGGTGGCATATTCGTTGTGTCCAGAAAAGTTATTTATGGTAAAAAGATTTATGAAATTTTTTAAATATTATGAGAAATTTTTTTAAGAGTAATTAAAAAGCTTATAAAAAATTAAAGCTCCAAAGTGTGCAGTATCTTTAGTAAATTCTCGTATTCGAACTTAAAGTAGCCTCCACATCGATAAACTGGAGCTCGAATAGCTCGCCAAGTGGGTTAGAGTGGGTTAGGTTGGGTAATTATAATCTTCCCCACCCTCACGTCAATTCGGCGTGAGTATGACACTAAAATTACTTCTGAATTTCTACAAGTATCAGTTTAAATCCTCGTAACTAAGTAATTCTATACCTTTATTATTCCATTTTTTCCTTCATAAAATTATTTTTTTTTTATTTCTATTTTCATAAAATTATACATATTTTATTTTTATTGCTAAAAAAAAAAGATGTTCAGAAATATTACTATTTGAATATTGTAGTATGATGTAGAACACAAATTTTATTTCTTTTCCGTGTAATTTTTGATTAGGGCTAACTCGAAGAGTTGAACGAACTCATGATTTTGCCGCGAAAGACGCGAATGAGTGAGGGATTATAAACACAAAGAAAATACAAGACTTACACGCGTGCGGCAACTGCGGGATACCGCGAATAAAGCGGTGGAAAGAATTGACGGAACATGAGAACGAAGAAGAACATGTGAGTCTGGCAAGTGAGAAAGAGGAAGTGAATGAGTCCAAAAGGTAAAACAGATTTGCAAACACACAACGAACGATGGTGGACGACAATCGAAAGATAACTCGGGGTTTTTCGGCTCAACAAGTGGACCAATGTTTTTAGAACGGTAGTCATTCTAAGCTTTAAACACGTAAACCTGACACCCACGAGCATACCAGTAACATGAAGAAGCGCAATGGAGAGAAAACGATCGCTTATTTCAGGCAAAAACTAGCCCTTTGCGCTAGGGGTTGTTGCTGCTTCCTGCTACGAGTATGAGAGTAAAGGGACGTCCACAGACGAGAGGGAAAGGCAAGGGGGCCTCTAGAAACAGAGATGCCGAATTGGTCTGGGGAAGCAGACGAGAGAAAAGAGAGAAAGAAAGGATAAAGCGATAGTGTTGTTTGTGGGTTTGAGAGACATAGAGAGTGATATGAGTAGGGGAAACAGTCCAACAGTGGGGAGTGTGATCGTCGATTGGACGGTATAGGAAGGGAAGATCAGTTTGCCTCCCCTCGTCGAGCGTCAGTCGCGTCGCGTACTTCGACCGTAGAGGATTTTGTCGCTTTTTTTATAACATCCTAAATTTTTTCTCAGTGTTTCATTCAGACTACATCACCATATTTTTCCAATCCTATTCAAAATCTATTTTCCAATGTTAATATAATTATTTACAGATCTTTTGTAAATTTGACGTAAGAGTGCAGTTCAGAGCTCACCAAGACAAATATTCATGCTAGATTTTGTTCAATAATTTTATTACAATTTGATCACCAGTGCAAGAGTAAAATAATTGAAAAAAAATATATTCTAGTCTGCAAGGCGATATTGGAAAAAAGAATAAACTTTGTGAAATAGACTAGTGTGATTCACATGGCAATAGATTTCAAGTGATCGACATTTTTATAGAATAGTGGTTCAAGTGTAGAGTATTTAAAGTGCCGTTGTTAACAGAAAAAGTGTCTTGATAGAAGGAAGAATATATATTCAAATCAAAGGAAATATTAAATTGATTTGTTTAATTTATTATTTGACATATAAATCACATGATTTTATAGAAATTTGGACATTTGACGTTTTATCGTTGAATGTTAAGGTCGAGTCCAGGAAAAGAGACTTTTTGCTTCTTTTAGCGTGTCCGTAACGACGCGACTCTCATGCCGCCATGTGTGTCCGACGTTTCAGCCGCGTGCTCGTTTTCTGATAGGACCTTGTGTTCGAGAAAAAACAACAAAGCTCTTGGTTGTCACTGAATGCAATATAAAGAGTGTGATCGTTCAGCACTATTGTGAGTGAGGCTAATAATTGACATTTTTATTTTATTTTCACCCGAAAGTATAATTTTTTCTTTTCAATTTTAAATTTGAAGCATCAATTTTGTTTTATTCCAATAATAACACACTTCAAAATGCAGTTATGAGAATTACAACACGTGAATTTCGAGACTTTATTTATTGTAGTTGATGTATATTTTTTGTTTTATTCTTCGAACCAAAGTGATTCTCTTTAACTGTGATAATATAGTCAAAATATTCGAGTCAATTTTCGAAAAAATGTCGCAGAACCGGAGTAGTGTTATTTTTGCGATTCATGTGATTTGATATTTGCTAAAGACTTATTAAGTGTACGCGGTATAGTGATTGCGTGACAGAAGAAAGGAAAATAAATTTTTAATTTCACAAACATGCAGTCGAATCCAATTCTTCGTGAAATTGGTAGCACTGAAAAGTTGATGGGAAATAATAATAATTTGAACAACAATGGATCACCCGGAGCAGACATAATGTTTCAAATGGAAGACGAGGGCATGACGCAGCTCGGAAGCGTCTTTCAATCGGCTTACCAATCTATTGTTGGTGGTGGTCCTCAGGTAATAAACCCTTTCCGGATTTTTTTTATTTTTTACTTTTTTCTCAAAGACTTGAATTGGCGCACGACACTCTCATCGTGTGTTGTTCATTTAGAATTTATAACAAAAAAATAATAATAAAATATTTGTTACATTTAACTCATTAACATTTCTCTGATGACGAATAAATTATGCAAAATGACCTATATATGGAACGACAATGAAAATTTTATTCTATTCATAGCAAAACTATTGGAATGATTGTTAAGGGGAAATAATTATAAAGTTGGCATCGAAAAAATAATTATAGTCGAGATAGTGGTAGAAAGAGAATTGGAGTGGGAGTGAGGGAGAGCGTTAACTCGCGATTTTGCGAGTGTGACTCGTGATCCAGGCATTATTTCGTTAAATGGAATTTCTATCTAATTCAAATGCGGCTTAGCCAGAAATAATGCGATTACGCGTTAGCTTATTCTGTTTGTTAATCTCCTTTGCACGCCATTGTTATCCATATAGTGACGGAGGAAAGGGCGGCTGTAAGAGAGGATGAGTTGCAGAGGAATAGAGGGAGAGAATAGTAGAGAGTGAGAGCCGCGGCTTTTACCCCTGCCCTCTCTCCCTTACCCTCCTTTTCACGGTACTGTACATTATTTCAGTACAGTCTACCCGTTGGTAGATCCTCTCTGGCTTATGGACTGACTCTCAGTGACTCTCAACTGTTTTACGATTTATCATCACTTCTATATTCTCTCTCCAGCCATTCAGCTATTACGGCGATAAAATTATAACTGCCGGAAGGGTTCGACACAAAGAAAATAATAAAAGTCAATTAGTACTTTTTTTTTGCATCTGCACACTGTTGATTGTTAATTAAGATAATCAGTAAAAGCATAAATTATATCAAAACGGTCCTATCTCTTTTATTTTTTTATTTCAACCAATCGTCGCGTTTCAAGGTCTTCTCTCAAACAACACACCGTAGAAACGAGATAGAAGAATGTAGAAAAAGAAGAGAAAACGAGTGGCGCCCTCGACGCACACTCACTCCTCTTTACTCTTCAGTTCTATCAGCAGTTCAAGCGGCTTATTAAACGCTAACGGTACGTTTGTTACTGCCGCGTGTAATTATACTGGGTATTGTACCATACTCAAGATGAGCAAGAACGAGAACACTGAACACAATTGATCGAGCTAATCGTCTCGATATCAGCTAGTTATTCCATGTTTTATGAGTACATTAAATTGGAAATAATTATCATACTAGACAATGTGTTAAACTACAAATGTGCATTATGTGCACAGAATTCATTAAAATTGTACGTCATACCACTGAAACTTGTTTTTCGAGTGAATTTCCGGTTTTCTTTCCATATCCGGCTTCTACCAGACCACGTCTTGGTACTCTGGTCAATTGAATGTCTTGGAATTAAAATTCGCCAAGACTAATTATTGTCACCACATCTTCTTTATTCCAAATAATGAATTCAAAAATATATTTATTACATCATATTTCCTTCCAAAATACTATTCACTTCCGGTTGACCATCACTGTTGAGATAATCTATATGCTTTAGATTAGCATTTGTACCCACCAAGTTCATGTATCTCTTGTATGATCACACTTGTATGTAATGCGTAGGATTGAACAATGACACACAATCACGGAAGGTAGAGAGATACTATATAAAGGGTAAAGGGTAGATTTCACATGTTAGAATTCTCTATTCCTATATGAGGAATATACGCGCAACATGTGTGATATACAATATGTAATAGCTATACAATACATTAGTGACATAACTGGAATTATTTTATATGACGGATGTTTGCTAGGGAGTTTTTTAACACTTGTCAATGTTCATTTAGACTAGGAAAATCAACGTATGATTGATTTATAGGAAGTAGTAACGTATAGCTATGGATTTTCATGATTATTATGTAGTTGATAATATTATGGATAGAGTTAATATATCCAAAGTATGTCCGTAGATTGTATAATATAAACGGGATCTTTTGAATTGCGTCCTAGTTGTGTCGTAATGGTGTCATGACGTATATACATAACAGAGAGATGGCGCGACAGACGAATGATGTATGTCTGCACCTAATGACCAAGCAGACGTTGTACCACAAGCACTGTTAACAATGCATTAACGCTATTGCCATCATTGTTTATTGCTAAGTGTTTATTTATTATAATTATTATTAGTTTTTTTCCTTTTTTTCTAATTACATGTTGCTTTAACTTAGATTTACAATGACTTAAGCCCCTATTTTCGTCTCTCTGGTGAGTAATTATCATTTTGGACCATGACGTGTGTGGTTAGAAAAATGACTTTGAAGTTTAAGGGTACAGAAAATCCACCCCCATTTGATGTTGGGTAAGCGTAGAAAATTTTTGGAACGACTGCAGCAGTCGTTTTCGAATGTACTTCTTCAAGCGTAGAGAATAAGAAAAAGAGAGGCCTACATGGAGGATGAAGAGGAAGAAGGGAAAAAAGTTGCCCTGGGGCCATATGGCGTCTTTGGACTACCCAAGAGGCCCGATTTGAAAACCTAAGCTTGAACCCCCATCAACCGACTACTGATTAAGGATTTTTTGCTTTGCTTCTAAACATTATTTTTTTTTGCCCTTCGATTTGAGGACGGTTTTCCTTCTTGAGAAAAAATATCTTAAACACATAAATGTCATTTAAAATTTCTCTTAAACAGTATAAATATAAATTATCAAGTTTATTTATATATCCGATACAATAATTTTTACACTAATATTTTTGTAACCACTAAAAAGAGGAAATATATTGCTTTTTTGTTATTCAGCATGAAAAATCAACACTGTTCAATGGAGAGTACTTTTTATTGAAATTTTCACATAAAAATCGAGAGATATATTTTATTACAATTTTTATTTGAATTTTATAAAAGAGAGAAATGAAAAAATTTTTCGTCGGTTGAAAAATGATGTGTAATATAGAAATGGATTATACCGCGTACTAGAATCGGCCTCTAGTGCCAATTTATTGACTTTTACTATAAATACTCTCGCCATGGTTCTACGACTCAACTTATACCCCATTCGTAGTCTGTGCACTCTCGAGGTTTCTCAATTCTCTTTCTCGACAACTTGTTATGAAAAATATCCGGCTATTCCAGAGTCGCGTCTATTGGGCTTGAAAGATGATTTAAATAGCTCCAGTAGGAACTCTAGGTAGTTACCACTGTGAGGAAAAATGTTAGCTACGCCATTGTGTGGGTCATTTCCTGAGTGTCGGAGAGTTTTGCTTGGTTCCTTTTTTTCATCTCTTTCTCGCTTTTTTTCCGTTTCTGGAGCTCTTCTTGTCGGTTTAACTACCCGTTCGTATAGACACCACCTATCTAGAGAAAATAGTCGAGGCCACTGAGAGGGAAAATTACAAATGTAAAGAAAAAAAAAAATACAGGGTGTAAAAATTTTTAACACGATAATTACAATTTAAGAAAACCAAAAAATATTTATCTTTCGGCATTTCACATGTTATTTATTTTGGATATGATTTTCATTTAATATTACACACCGAATGCTTGCTGAACTTCGATTTATTCTAATAAATATATATTTCACCGGTTTCTTAATCACTTAATTTGTTTGATTTTTTGATGTAATATTAAAATGATAAAGATTCGAGTCTTTACTCTGTATAATTAACTTGATTATATATCGATAACGATTCTTCTGCTGGAGAAAAAAAAAACATTATTTTTTCTTTACACAAGTGTTATTATAACTTTTTAAGCATCAAAAAATATCAGATAACATATTATACAAGGACAAGTTAAAGAGAAAAGAAGCATTTCATTTGATACGAAGTACTGGAATCTTCTATATGTATTACGCGATACAGTGATAACATTTTGTGTTCTGATTTGAATAATTTTTTTTAATTTAAAAAAAAAACAATAAAGCTGAAAATAATTATAAAAAAATGTTGATCAAAAGTAAGGCAATGATTTGGAGAATTTAAAGAGCCATAAAACGAGTATCTTTTATAAATTTTACTGTTGGAATATACCTGCTAATAAGAAATTATATAAGGTGTTTAGTGAATTTTTTCACGGTTTGATGCTCATGGGAAAGTAAATCCAGAAAAACATGATCTGAAATGAAGACAGGGTATTCGTTTACTCTCTTTCAAACTCTCTTAGTACTAACATGTACGTATAAATTTAGAAATACACTTTAGGCGTCCAAGACATGGGTTCACATATCCAGTGTTGGTTAGTGCTTTACGAAAATGCAGGGACCTGCCGTTGTCAAGCGCGTGCGCGTGTGTCCGTGCGCTGAGCAGCTGTCCGCCAGGTGCTCATACGACTGGCCAATCGGGGAGAGATTCTGGCCGCGAGAACCCCACCAGGGTGCATAACCTTTCGCGGGGCCTAGTCGCCCCCTCGTTTTACCTGCCAAGGGTGTGTTAGTTCGTAGGGGGAGGACCTGTCTGTGAACCCCATTGTGAATTTTTCTACTTTTATTATTCAAACTGTTTGACCAACTATACTAAATCAATTCTTTACAGATGAAAAATGGGCTTTTTCTCAGAGAGAATTTTTCTTCACTCCAATATCCACACCAAAAAGTCAAAGGTTTGGGAAAAAATGTAAAGTAGAATTTGGCGGATTATGCTTGGTATTATGCAAATTGAGTTGAAAGTCAGCGCTATTAGTGCAAAAAAAGTTGAAAGTATGGAGAGAAAAGTCCCGTTTGTCTGATAACCGTTTAGGGAAATCGTCGGTGCCTTTGTCACGCCTACATATACCTCTTGGGCGGTCGTTGTGATAGATTCTCGCGGTGTTGTTTGAATCCAACATTATCTGTCACTCGAATTTATAGAATTTTTTTTAAATATATTACCGCACGTGTTTAGCGGCAAAATTTAACAATTAATACTAGATCAGACTATTGCATAATACAATATGATATGAAGGAATTATATCCACGCAATATATATTTCTCTCTATCCAACTCTGTTTTAATCACACGTGCCTAA